GTAATAAAAACTCATCCAAACTTTGTGTTATGTTCCCATGACACAGAAATATCATCAACATACCAAAATCCAAGTTGAGGAAGATGTAGAGAAGATGAACTGGCCATAGTTTTAAAATGTTGCATATAAATTTCAACAAAAACATTGCATTACACGCTAGAGAGGAAAACCACAATGTTGACCTCAAGAGTATAAAAACAACTCCCAAGGACTGTAACACCAAAAAGAGAAAAATCAAAGAAGCCATTGCAATAGCATCCTATGACTGAGGTCATCCTACAGCCATTAACCAAAATCAAGGATTTCCCCCTTCATACTTGCTGATTATCTTTCATTAAAGAAATCAAACATGCATTGACTCTAATGCTATTATTAAAGTAACCTAATTTTTTATTATTATTATTTTTTGTTTTGTTGATCTTACTTGATTTATTTACTTTTTCCTGTTGATTTTATCTTCTAGCATAACAAACCACAATAATAATATTGCTTGCTATGTTTCTTGACCTAGTAACATTATTCTATTTTAGCTTATTGGGCTTCAGGTTTATTTTTGTTAAGAAACTTAGGACAGGTTCTTGTTTTCCACTGTTGCCAGGCAACTTGTGATTTGAATTGTTCCATTAGATCCTGTTGTTTATTAAACATCTTGCAACTGTACACTGCTTAAGTAATTGAGACAAAAGCTTGTGTACTGAAAAAACTAAAAAAAAAAAAATGTGTTGATAGTACAAATGAATTACTTAATACAACTATGAGTACTCAAATTAAAAGCCTGAAAAGTTAATTATTTCTACTGGTTGGATACAAAATGGGTAAATGTGTAGTTATAGATACAACAATTAAAACCTAAATACTGTCATAAACACTCTTATAAACATGTAAAAACAATACAGAATTGTCTGGAAGTTTATAAAGTATTGTTGCAAAACATGACTGACATGTTGATAAATATTTTTCTGTTTCTAAATATTAAATAGTGCAGTTGCATTACATGTATGATACATTTTCATGTAAAAAGTTTAGGGTTACAACTATTGTGGCTGAAGTTAGAATACAGGGTTTCCTCTGGCTTTTCACATTTTCTTCACCACTTGAAAAATTTGTTTTCAGACATATTTTAAAGTCAAATTTATATTTTAATTCTAAAAATATTTTAATAAGTATAATTCAAATATCTTAAAATCAATATTTTGTCATTCTCTGACACTTATTCAGTGTAATTCATAAAGAGGAAAAAGAAAAATGCATACTTCAATTTCTGCACAACTTAAGAAAGTTACCTGTATATAAAACAACCCACTTGTCCATTTGTTGTTGTTTTTTTCTGCTCATACTTCTGTATTGAAATATCAAATTTGAAGTTTTATCTTTCAGTAATGAAAGATGAACTTGAGAGAGCTGTAAGCAAAAAGGTTAGTCAGCCTTATAACTCCCACTTGCAAAATAGGCTGATGTTTTCAAAGAGATAGAAGTCATAATTCAAGGACACATGTTCAAGAGAAACATTTGTATTGAAATTTTATATGAATTAGGCCTGCAGTCAGTTGTGGAGTTTATATGAAAACTTTATTCAAGTAATTAGACCTCTAACTTACTAGTAAATGTGACTGTAATAAATATTACTGAACAAATAAATTAATTTGTTGTCTTTAAGCAGACTGGACTTGGCATTATTTTTCACCAACTACTTCAAAAGAACCCAGCTATTTATAGGGAACATTATAACAGCATTGTCAGAAATGGGATTATTTTGATGAAAGTCATATAGAACTTTGTATAAACTTAAACTTTCATGATGTCCTCACAAAGCTAGATTGGAAATTCATTGAAGCTGATAATGCAATTAAAAGTAAGTCAATTAAAAGTTTCTCCCCCAGCTAAAGAGAGACAATTGGAACTGTACTTAAACCATCCATGCTAACAGTCTATATTAGCTACTCATAGTTTCTTGTGTTAAGACCTCTTAAACTTGAAAATTGTAACCACAGTGGATCACGCAACAGCAACAACTGCAATTTTAATTGCTGTTTCAGATTTTTCTTTTTAACATAAAGGAATAAAAGTTAGATAATATAAAAACATCAATTATAATGTACTTAATAATAGTACTTTCATTAAAATACATTTATAGTAAAGTGGTTTAATTCAATTTTGAATTTAACTCAGTAAAATCTCATGACATTCGTAGAAAAGGGTTTAAAGGGTGAGCTTCGTCAAAAGGTTAATAAATACATAGGTTAAACCAACTATAACTCTTTCTGCATCTGCCCATGAAGACCAACCTAAAACACCATCTACTACAAAATATGGAATAGGAGAAATTAAATGGTGTATACCTATAACCACTACTGCTTTGCCATCTGTTACTGCAAGATCTTCCTGGACTACTCCAGCCATGTCACAACCAAATCCATTTGGTGGCATCACTTGATTGTGAAATCAGGAGATTATGATGGAAAGGTACCATAAGGAGGCATATAAGGCTCTGTTCAAAATAATTTCCAAAGTGAAGAGGTGGAAAAGTGAACAACAAGCTATTCATACTGCTCATGATTTAAAAATACCTGCTTTAACAACATTAAATACCATTCCAGCTGAGGCCCATAAAGACCATCAAACAATGGTAGCTGTCTTTTTCAACAAGTTAGGAGTAACACACTAAAAAAGAAATATTCAGAGCAAAGTTCCAGAACAGGGCACAAAGGAAAGAAGATACCACAGCCATACTTATAGACTTGGAAAACTTGACAACTATTTTACCTGGATGCTCAATGTCAAATGGTTAGTGAGTGAGTGAGACCAATTTACAAAGTTGGTGTGCATCTTTAAAAAAATGGAAAAGGGTGGTGATAAAATTATAATCCACTCAAGTTGCAGATAAACAAGTACCATATTGAAGATACAGGGTTATCAAATCAAGTAGTGTTCAAATATCAGCTCTAAAAGAATTGAAATTACTAGTTACATAGCATGGATGATATAAACAATAAGACAATAGGTATTTCAGGTGTAACCCAAAAGATAATAGAAAGAAAAAACAGTTAATAAACCCAAAAATGAGTCTTTTAGCTCAAAACCACTTCAAAGGAACAACAAAGAACTAGGCAGACATTAGGAAACAGGAATAAGATTGACTTATGAAATGGAGTTTAGCTGAAAAACACTCCATCTGCCCAAAATGAGATAAGAAATTCATTACTTAAAGAAACCAGTCCACGAGTACAATTTATTGATAGGAAGCCTACAATATGTTGGTTAATATGTTGGTTATATACCTACAACTGTTTGACTTGATTTGGTAAGGAAAAGTGGGAAATCGCTTCAAGTATAGATGAAAGAAAATGGAGTGATACAAAAAGTTCCAGCAAGAGAAAAGTTAGAAGTAACACTTACTGTAAGAAGCTCCACCATATCTCATAATATGCAGGTAACTAACACCAAGAAAAAGTTAATATTAGGATTTAACTTCATGCAGACATTGGATGCAAGGTTAGGCTAGCTTCTTTATGACCAGTAAATCCCTGTGTACTAGATATCATTACTACACCATAGGTTGAACTTCCAAAGAGAATAAGGAGAGCAAGTCTTGTTAGAAATGAATTTACTATGAAGAACTGAAATACACCAGGACTTCTTGGAAATAAATTTACATCTAGTGACTGGGCAGTAATAGAACCAAACATTCCAGTGTGTCCTGATGGATTAATGGTTGGAAAACATTAGTGGATCTGTCATCATTAGGGCCAGGAACACGACGAACTATAAGATTCAAGTATGTATGGGACATTGCAAGATATGAAGTTGTACAGGCAGTATTTCCATATCAAAGTACATCAGTAATAGTCACCTTTGAGGAAAATGTAGGAAATCTGATATCATATCCTCACATAAGGACAGCTTACCAAATCACACAACCACTGTACAACTGTAGGTGTACTGGTCTTGCAGCTAATCGGTGCCATAGATTACATGACTTGCATCGGAATATAAAAGTAACTTCTCCAGTGGACCTCACGACTTTGGCTAAATAAATATTTCATAAGATCATAAGATTGATACTAGAGATGTAGCCTCCATCTAGTTTGGATGCTCTATCTGGATCAACTTACAAGTGAATGCAGCTGTACCATAAGTTATTGAAGAAATAAATCATTTATCATTAAGTGGACTGGACTTGGCTTTTTATTTTCTCAAAATATTAACTAAAAAAAAAAAACACCAAAACATACAGCATATTACAGTATTATTGCAAATATTGCAATGATATGAACTCTCCCACACAGCTAATTTGGAATGATGGCAAACAAAATAATTTTTTCATATTGCTATATACATATAAAAAGGCTATTTTAATTCCTAATGTATGTCATTGTGATTACCCTTGGGTTAAGCTGGGATATGTCTAAGTCTAAATGTAGATTTTTTCAGGTTTAAGGATCATATTACCTATATTTAAAACTTCAAATACAGTATATAAATATAAAGTCCTAAATGTTCTTTACAATGAATCCACCACTATGTGGTTAAAGGTTCACATGCAAGAACATACAAATTAAAAAATACATCATTTTCCAGCATTAAGAAACATTCAATGAATGAGTGTAATGAATTAATAAATATAAGGCAATTTAAAATCCTAACAAAGGCAAAGAATGAACTGGAACTGCACATAAAGGAAAGTTCACTAATCAACAAACTTCAACTGAGGTTAAATGAACAGACTTTGACTTTTAGTAATTCCATCAGTGTTTGTGTTGTTATAACTCTTTGTTCCAAGTAAAAAATTTCAAATTAGTTTATAGTTTTAATTATTTATAAAATTATAAAATCTTGGTCTTTGTGTAACCTTCTTTAAGGGTAGGCTACATATGTAACACAAGTAAGACTGACTGTACAAATGCTTAATAATGTGCATTTAGAGTTTTTTTGTTGGTTGGTTTTGTACTTTGCCAATTAAAAACATTATAAATAATAAAATAAAAATATTAAACACTTACCGGTTATCAAGCCATTGACTGGCTTCAACTGGAGGAACTGCTCATCAAACTTTGCACGAGTTTCATTTGGTATCCTCCAAGGATCAGTACCAACTGGTTTCATTCCTGCCATTGTATCAGGCTACATCCTACAAACAATAAGAAAGACTTGTATTATACTAGAAAGTTCAGTTTGTGTTTAATTGTCATTTGTGTCAAAAACAGGCATCTTTAGTTTTCTAATTCTTTAGAATGCCCAGTATCTCCCACACATTTTAATAACTAGTTCCTAACACTGTTGGTAGTAGCATTATTAGTAGCAACATTTCTAACAATGTTACTTTTTTAATCACATTTTCAGTAACATTTTTAGTCAAAACAGCATGTTACTCATTAAATTTTTAAATTCAGGAATATTATAGCCTACTAGCATACTTAAAAATACAAAATAGCTGATAAAATTAGTGGTTAAAACTATCTGGTTAAAACAATAATAATTAATAAACTAATTTACACAACCATAAATATAATAAATAATAGTTTTTAAATAGCAGAAATATTGGAACAACAGCAAAGGAATGAAATATTGTTCATGTATTCCTGCTGATAAATGTTTAGTTTGAGTTGTGAATTTGCAGACTTGTAGTGAGGGCCCTTACATTAATCAAATACACCATTGGTATGTATTTTCTGTCAGCTGTCTGTAAGATAACAGAGTGGAAGGTTATGTGCAGCACTATGTCACACAAAAGTGGTAGTGGTTCAAGCAAAACTCCATGTAACCCTTGGCCATATCATGACAAAATACTTTTCTGGAAGAAGTAGTAATGACAACTTATCATACGAATGCTTGCTTTGCTTGCCTTTAAAGAAAATGTTCAGTGTGAACAGTAAATCTGCAAGAAAGTTAAAAAAAAACTTGTCCATAAAACATTTCTCCATTGCTAAGAGATTTGAGACTACAATGAAACAAGGTACATCACTAAACAAACAAACAGTGAAAGCAAATGAAGATGATGACAATATGCCTAAAAAGCTTGCAGTTGATTATCAAGAGAAAGAACAACTGCTTCTAATGTTTGGGCAAAGCTCCCGAGTGTCTCAACAAAAGCTGAATGGTCTAATATTGGACTTTGTGTTTCAGAGTTTTTGTCATTTAGAGTTGTCAAGTCCACATCCTTTAGACATATATTTACATCACTACAACCAACAAGAACAGTTGTTTCTCAAAGAACATTAATGAGGTAAATTAACAATGCCTATGAAGAAAAATTTGCCTTCTTGTGTTCCAACTAGCAGTAGTCAAGACTATTGCTATGACTGCTGGAGTTGCAGAGACAGGTAATTAAACAATAAATAATCTCCAATTTTTTAGTTTCTAATATTCTCAAAATTTTTTTAACAATACAATATTGGAGGTTTGTTTTTTGCACCCGACTCAGGAACATTGAAACTTTATTAGATTGTTCATATTTACTACAGTTAACTTTTAAATATTGGAGTTAACCTGTTTTGTTATTAAAAGCACGTTGGAAACTGATGGACTATTATTTTATTTCAGAGCCTATTTAGGAGTCACTGTGCCCTGGATAAACAAAGATAAATTGGAAGGTAAGCATGCAATTTATGCTTGCCTTTGTATAAAAGGACATCATACCTCTGATATCATTAGATAAGCACTAGAAGCAGTACATGTTGCATAGTGCATCCAGAACAAAATTGTCAAGACTACAACTGATAATGGTAGCAACTTATTCTAGGCTTTCAGGTTAGTAGCATATTTTAAAGTTATGTGAATTTGTCTATATTTTTAAATTAATGCATACATACAAAATAGTCCTTAGTCAGGTGAGCTACAACTGAGTTTTCCACCAGACAAAGACAATGTACATATTCATCCTTTAGCTAATATATTAGCTGTTGATGATGAGGTATTGTCTCATTCGTGTATATGCATTTTGCCAGACCATCAAAGGTGTGCCTCTCATACATTGAATCTCATTGCTACTACTGATTTAGATAAAGCTTTAAATAATGATAGTATAAAAAAAGTGTCTTGATCAGCAATAGCAAAAGCTTAAAATCTATGGAACAGATGGAGTAGAAGCACTGTAGCTCCTGATACAATTTAGAAAGAAATAAGGGATTCTTGGTTGTTCCTTGTCCAACTCTTTGGAATTCAATGTTTGATGCCCTAAGTCACATGGATTAGTTAATATATAGAACTGAGACAAGTAATCCAATGCTAGACCAAGTTTTTAATTGACTGGGCATTGGGCTACTGAGAAAATTATCTTGGAATAAGTTCAAGCCATGAAACCTATTGCTAGAGCACTTGCAATGTTAGAACAAAGCATTTATGGAACTACTGATTCCCACCTTGAGTGTTTATCTAGCCAAGTTGAGTAATTTGAATAACAAACAGTTGCAAGTTTGCAAACCCCTAGTTTAAGTATTAATTCAAAGCATGGAAACTAGGTTTAACAATATGTTCAACAATGACGATTCAATTCTTTCAGCATGTTTTCATCCTAGGTTCATGCTCTCCTGGCTCCCAGAAAATTGGAAGGAAAAAAGTTTGACAAAAATGATTGCAAAAACATAAGATCACACAGCACAATATGGTACAGAATCACCTAATCAAGATAGCACGAAAGAAACAGAAGACAATTATTTCACATGCCTGCAAACAAGGGGCCAAAAATACTGAATACAAAAGTGCTCAGTACTTTTCTAGATAAATCTCTTGTAAAATATGTCCACAATGATGCATTTCTACACCCAGACTTAGTCAGTTTTCATTTCATTAAATACAGCTATTCTGTCAAGTGCTGCTGCTGAGATGTTTTTTTCAGTCGAAAAATATGTGCTGAAGGCAAAAAGGCCATTCAACATAGTATATATTATGAATTTGATGACAGTAAGAGTTATCAACTTTTTATTTTACCATACATTGTTGATTTTGTTTCGAGAAAATACAAGATACTTTAGATATTCATTTAGAAGGTTGAAGAGATTATGCAAATACAATATGCAAACTGTACGATGGGAAAAATATTTTTCATATTCATATGAACATCACCTTGAACTCTGACTTGTCAGAGTCTGAGTCAGAATGAATCCATAAATTCACAGGCATATCTTTAGCATATCAAAGGATTTGAAAATTTACTCTTGCAATACATCTTTGAAAACAGCTGTAAAGAAAGTGTAAATACAGTTGGATAGAGCAAGAATTAGACTATCATGTAAATGCAAATACATAGATTTAAGTTTTTATAGTCTCTGTAAACATTCATTTCACTTGTGAATTGTGAAAGGATTTTTGTATTAAATTATATCTGTATGAAACTATGGAAATCTTCAATAAGAAGACATCAGATAACTTGAGATAAGGTAAGCTTATAGTTTACAGACAGGATAAATGGATAATAAACAAAACTTTATTACAAGTTTAACACTGGAAAATGTTTGAAGGTTTTGTTATCATCAAGTACAAATAGTTTATATACCTACGCACAGATACATATATAAATAAATAGCTTACAAACTATTGATTACATTGAAAAAATAAAAATACAGTCTTTGAATAACCAAAATAATTATTTTTGGATTATTTAAAGTAACATTCCAGTTTTGGAATGTTTGAAAAATTATAATTCTTCAAAAACTGCCAGTTCTATTTTTACATACGACTTTACTAAATTCTATACTAAAATAGACCTAAAAGATTCAATCAGGGTTTTAAATTATTTGTTTGATAACTTTATATGTAATGAAATAACTATACCCAAATTTAAATTTACTAGGATTCAATGTAAAAATACTCCAATTTTGTATTTATAACAGTTATATTGTTTTTAACGACCAAGTATATAAGCAAATGGTGGGTATTCCAATGGGAACGGACTTCTCTTCACATATGGCCAACCTGTATGTTCTTTTATGAAAACTCATTTATGAAGCAGACTTTAAATCCTAATTTATACATTTACACTTTCCATCACATAGATGATTTAATATCTATAAATAATATGAATTTTACACAAACCTAATATATCCAATAGAACTTAAAATAGAAAGAAGTAATAATAATAATGAGGTCCATGCTAATTATTTAAATTTGGACATTACTTTTAGAGAAGGTTCAGTGCAGTAGACTGTTTTTGATAAAAAATAATTTATTTTTCCCATTCTTGGTCTACCCATATTTAATAGTGTTATTCTGTGTATCACGTTAAAAGGTATTATTATATCTCAGCTAAAACAGTTCTTAATAGTATGTAATAACTATAATTTTTTTTATGGATAATGTTTTATTATTAAAAAATAACTTGAAAGATAATGGCTATAGGCAATTAATGAAATATGTTACTTTATTTTTAATAAATACAAAAATATTCTAGAAACTAAACTATCGATTAAGGAAAATATCTTATAAATAAAATATAGAGGGAGTTAGTAATTTCAGCTTACAAGTAGCTAATAATTTTTCTAGTAATTTTATTCAGTATAACTGGGACAAGACTAACTTCAAATAGTTGAGCTTGTATCGGCATTCCCGTGTTATACTTGAATAAATCTTCAGGTGAAAGGGAGGAGGTTGGGAGTGAGAACTATATAAGAACTTTAAGGTAGGGTATATAATTCTATTTAATATCTTATAGATCTATTTAGTTCTAATCAATACTTCATAGTTCTATTTAATATTATTTTGTAAGGGTGGAGGTTGGTTGTTTAATTAGTAGAAATATTAAGGTGGCTTCATTTCTACTTTAAGAAATTTAAAGGTAACTGCCTTCCCACAACTGGCTATGGACAGTGAAAGGCAGTAGAAGCTGAGACATTGTGGGTGTAAGCACTCAGCTTTGTACCCTTACGTGATTCATGATTTTCCATGATGGCTGACTAGATTGACATCAGCATTTGGATATTGTCTGATAGATGGGATATCCCCAATGCATTTGGGTGCTATTACCACCATTATGACAATAAGTTTACAACCAGGACTTGGAATTTGCTTAAGGCAAAATATAGATATCTTGTTGATGTTTAAATATGATGTTTTTAGTTAACAGATATACTATTGTTTTATTGAGTGGCAATGTTTGTAACTTTTTATTATTATTATGTTCACTACATAAAATGG